TTTTTTTTTTTTTTTTTTAATTTTTTTCGAATTTTATGAATTTTTTTTCGAATTTTGTGTTATAAGTTTATAACATTCATATAAGATTGGCCACATTTATAAGGTAATATATTTTTTGGCCAAATTTAAAAAAAAAAATTAAAAATTGAATTTTTTATTATTATTTTTTAATAAGGGCAAAATAGTATTTTGAGGGTGCGGTAAATAGTAAAAGTGGGTGCGGTGAATATTAACACTCAATTATATTGTACCATGTGACGTGACAATAAAAATGACAAGACCAATCGAATTAATTTGTCGGCAAAAAATTATAATAAAAACATTTTAATATCGTCCTATTAATAATTACTAAGTACTAAATAAATAATTATTATATTTGTGTAACTTAAAATACCTAATTTCAATTAATTAAGTTATCTATTAACGACTTCACCATAACATTTTCTCATAGACAAGTTGATATGGAACATGTAAAAGACCGGTTTTTGGCCAGGGGCGAAACCAGGAAATTAATTGACAGGGGGCAAAAAGACATCGCAAAAAATTTGGGGGTGCAAAACATAATTTAAGAGGGGGCAAATTAATTTTTTTTAATTATAATAGTAAAAAAATTTAAAGAAAATTAGATTTTTTAATTATAATAATAAAAAAAATTAAAATTTGAGGGGGGGGCAATTGCCCCCCCTAATATATATGTAGTTTCGCCCTTGTTTTTGGCTAGCTGTTGTGAGGTAGTTTCAAGAGTGTCTATGACCATTTAATCTTTTATATACTCTTCTAAGACATTTATTAAAGAGGATCAAGACTTTGTATTCAATTTTATAATACATTTTTATTTAGCTAAAAGTATATTTGTCTTCTATATTTTATTGTTATGATTTTCATCAAAATGATACTATCTTTTAACAGAAATGCTATGGAGCCATCGGATGGTTCTCTTATGGAGCCATCCTTAACTTTATGTATTGACACGTGTCCAATGTGCATTTATTGCAGGACACGTGTCAATACACCATTTGTTAATTATGGATGACTCCATAAGCCGAGCCATCCGCTGGCTTCATAGCAAAACCGTTTATTTTAAATATACATATACATACACTAAAAAAACTCTAGCCATAATATAGGTTTTTGTCATGTTACAATATACTCCTAAAGATCTTCTAAGTAAGGGACTTGACTGCAAATAAAAGGAAGAATTTGGTGGCAGAAAATGATGACATGGACAAGCTTATACCATTCATTCCCGGGCTCGAAAATATCATGAGACGCCGTGATCTTCCGAATATTTGTAGATTGGACCCCGAGAGCACCCACATGCAATATTACCTCGATCAAACCTCAAAAATGGGTCGGGCCTCTGCTCTCATACTCAACACATTCGAGGAACTCGAGGCGCCCATTATCTACCACCTCCACTCAATCTTCCCATCAATCTATGCAATTGGGCCGCTACACATTGTCCCGAGGCCCATTGGGCCCGACACTTCCCACAACTCCTCCAGCCTATTTCAGATGGACCAATCGTGCATGGGATGGCTTGACTCCCAACGGCCCAAATCGGTCCTATACGTGAGTTTCGGCAGTGTGGTGGTGTTGACCAACGACCAATTCACGGAGTTTTGGCATGGGCTCGTCGACAGTGGGAAACCGTTCTTGTGGGCCATAAGGCCCAACTTGATCGCCGACGACAATAATGGGCCCAATATTACCACTCTTGATGAGCTGAAGGCGGCCACGCCAGTGAGGGGCCTAATAGTGGGTTGGGCCCCTCAAGAGGATGTTCTGGCCCACGACGCTGTGGGTGGGTTCCTGACGCACAGTGGGTGGAACTCGACTCTGGAGTGTATGGCGGCCGGCAAGCCCATGATCTGCTGGCCCATGATTACGGACCAGCAGGTCAACAGTAGGTGCGTGAGCCATATGTGGAAAGTGGGGCTCGATATGAAGGATGTTTGTGAGAGATCAATGGTCGAGAAAATGGTGCGTGATTTGATGGAGGGCGGGAGGGAGGAGTTGTTGAGATCGACGGAGGAGATTGCTCGGTTGGCTCGGGAAAGTGTTCGTGAGGGCGGGTCGTCTCATCGCAATCTCGGGAAATTGATTGAGGATATAAAAATTGGTAATTTCTCTAGGGATATCATGGCCTAAGGGAAACGATTGAAGAAAGTTCTGATGTGTGGTGTCGTTTCGTGCATATGAATTAAGACGTTCGGTTTTATGAGTCGAGCTGAACTTGTTCGCAATCAGCTAACAATTTCAATAAATTTGTGATTTGTGCAAGTTCAAGTGTTACGTAGATTTAAATTCTAACACTAGGATTAAATGTTGTTCTACTTTTATACTCTAATAACATCATGAATACACTTATCAATAAAACGTAGGGTCAAAGTCAAGTAAAGTAGGAGGGAAAAAATAATTAGCTTGTAATCATATAAATCTATACAACTCCCACACCCAAATTTATTCTATTTTCTACTCAAAAGGCATTTAACAACTTGTACTTGAAGTTGAGTACACATCAATAGAACTATAGAAGAAAACAAAGATCAACCTTGAACTCATCTATATAATAACCAAACTCGATCAACAATATTATGTATTTCATTATCATTCCACTCTTCAATCTCTCTAATTTTTCCTAAATTTACCTCTTTATTTAATTTTACTTTACAAATTAACATACATTATGGTCCTCCCATCACCTAACGTTTTTTGGAATTCGTATCTTACGAGACTTTTTCCGGGTTGGCCGGACCACCAAACGACGTCCGAGCATCTCTTCTCTCTCTCATTGGTGTTCTTTCTCACGTTCACAGCCGAGTTCATCTCGAATTACCCGACACGCGAACGATGGGATGACCGGAGATTGGCGGCGCTTGGTGGTGCCGCCTTGCGAGGGCTCAAGATGTTCATGACTTATGTGGCGGTCGTGGCCATAATGGCCACCGATTTCGTGTTCCTCCTGGCGGCTGCCGGCGGCCATGCCGCCGGAAGTTTTGTTGCCGGGCTGTATGAGTATCATATTGAACTAGCTGTTGGGTCGATGGGGTACAATGGTGGCTATTTTAGATTATAATTAAAATGACTATACTAATATATATGAGTGAGGTGAGCAAATATNAGAAAAATTTTCTTGAAATCAAGCCTAATCATGTTAAACCAAGTAATTGTTATGGTGTAAAGTAAAGTTGAGCATGTCTTGAGAACACCATTTTCTATTTTCCATTCTTGTAAGAAATTAGTTTGATATTTCCTGTCTTATAGGATGTGCTTACTTTCTTTAAAATTTGTCTTAACCTCAAAAATAATATGAAGGCTCACGAAAAAATTGTGTTCCTTCTTAAACGACTGCAAACAAACGAATGTAGATGGAAGCAAAGGCATGTTACATGGGCTTTGAAAGTGAAAAAAAGACTAAACAAAAGTGGGACTGAAGAAAGAAACAACAACGTCAGTCAAGAAGACTCCGAAATAATTGAAAAGAGTGAGAGAAGAAGAGTTCTTTCAATTATTTCAGAGTCTTCTTGGGTTGCTATTATTGAGGGAGCGGCTACAGTACCGTTGGGTACCGTGCCGTTATTTTAATATGAGTCATTAGATGGTGATAGTTATTACTAGCAATTAGATTTTATGAAATCACACGTTAGCAACATGTACACTATTCTATACAATAATTTTGTTAATTAGTTAATAATAAATATATTAGAGTTAGTGGACATATCTATTTGTTTTTTAATAAGTTAAGAGAAGAACGCATAGAATTCTGTGTATTTCATGATCATTATATATTTTTTTTCATAAATTAATTCCTAATTCCTTAGCATCAACAAATAGATTATAAACAAATTTATAATGTTGAATTTACGCAGAGAAAATTTTTATGTTGTCATATTGATGCGATTTTTTATCTATTAAATAATTTATAAAAAAGAAACACAATTTATTTAATATCAGATCGCAAAAACATACGAAAATATAAATGAGAAGCTTCAAAATTTGTATTTGTTATCTATCTATGTCTATAAAAAACTTTGTTTATTTGAAATATAACTAAAATCCTGCCTAAAAGTTTTTAAAATATAAATAATTTATAAGAAAATAAACACAATTTTTTCTAGTGTCGGATCACAAAAACATACAAAAATATAAATGGGAAGCTTCAAAATATGTGTCTATGTTATCTATCTATATTTATAAAAAAATTTGTATTTACTGAAATCACTGTTTTAAATAATTCGCTATACCTCACTGTATTGCTTTTTTGTTTATTTTTCAAAAAACGCACTGTAACTTTATATATTTAGCATTTTTCCCAAGAAGCTTATGCGAAATGCTGAAATAGCATGCTTTTTTACACTAAATTGCGGTATATTTCTGCAAAGGTATTTAAACAATAAAATATTCAAAAGACTTGTATTTTTTAGGGGTTAGAGTTATATTTTTAAATGACTAAAAACTAAAAATTTTGGTGATGATTTCAAATAAAAAGTTTGAAAATGCAAAGTTGTAAGTTGAATAGTGCAATATATATCGGTCTGGGTCTGTTATATCATTATATTTTTGGGTACTAGACATTTAAATTTAAGAATAAAAAATGTTTAGATCTAGGGGTTAGAATTAAATTGTAATCAAATTAAAAAAATTAATTACAATGTATATGCTTAAAATTAAAATATGGCTTATCTTATTATATTTCATTGTTTGTTTTTACTTTTTAGTATATTCGTTTTGTTATTTAAATATTTATATTATGATATTTACATTAAACATTTGTAAGAAATAATTCTTAGATGTTATTTGGAGCTTATTCAAATATTATGATAATTTTTTGAATCAACCATCCAATTTTATTATATGCAAGTATATATATAATATTTCTATAACAATAACTTTTTATACTCGAATAGCTTGCGTAACACACAACGCTATTTACGCTACGCAGTATAAAGACCAAAACATGAAGAATTACGTTATACGCATTTTAAAACATTTCCTGAAATATAAACTAAATCCTGTCTAAAATTTTTAAATAACTAAACTTGGTAATTATTATTTTTTTTTTGAAAATTTTCAAAAAAATTCCCCCTTGAAATTAATTAATCAATTTATGGTATAAAATCGACAAAATTAATATATTCGGTGTTGGTATGAAGTGGGCAATTTTATTTGAGTTATCATATGGCCATTTTTATTTTTGGTAGGAAACGTATCATTAATAAATATCAGAATTTATGGTATAATGTAAGCGATTTTATTTATTTTATGAAATGACCGAATTTAAATGGTATGGATAGAAGCGTATTTGGAATTTTTGAAAACAAAATAAGTGGTATGATTATTATTTGGTAAGAGTATGAAAGTTGAATTTTAGGTTGATTTGTTATAAAATCAAGGTGATATGATTCTCAATTTAGCATATTCCCACAATAACTTACTATAAGATATTGATGATAATTTGAAAATTGGTATGTATTATTTTTTAAAATCAAAAAGATCTTTGAACAAATATTGGTTAATAAAATTTAAACTTTGTAATTTAATTACAGAGAATTAGATGATAAATTTGAACAATAAGGTAACCGACAACAAATCTGAAAAATTGTGAAATAGTATATATATATATATAAGGGGATTTATTGCGTAGTCAAAATTTAGGTTCCAAATATAAAAGTCAAATAAGTAATTATTCATAACTTATAGGTCAATATTAACTTGGACGTAAACGTAATAGTCAAGTATTTATAATCTAATAAATTACTAAACTACTTAATTTTTTTTGATTTGGATAGTTTATAAAAAAATTCATTTCAAGTATTATTCACTATATTTTTAAATATACGATACATTTTTACCAAAATAATTATTAAACTGATTATTTCGTTCTTAGTTTGGTTTAGGAAATAATCGTTAAAAACTAACTGCGCTGCGAGTGCACATTATTATTAATAAATATCCGAATTTATGGTATAAGCGCGATTTTACTTTTATATGAAATGACCGAATTTAATTAATGATATAGATAGAAGTGTATTTGGAATTTTTGAAAACAAAATAAGTGGTAAGATTATTATTTGATAAGAGTATGAAAGTAGAATTTTAGGTTGATTTGTTATAAAATCAAGGTAATATGATTCTCAAATTTTATCATATTGCCACAATAACTTATCATAAGATATTGATGATAATTTGGAAAATTGCTATCTATTCTTCTTGAAAATCTAAAAGATCTTTAAGCAAATATTGATTAATAAAATTTAAAGTTTGTAATTTGATTATAGAAAATTAATTGATGAATTTGAACAATAAAGTAACCAATCACAAATCTGAAATTGTGAAATAAGATTTACAGATATAAGGAGAAATATATATATATATATATATATATATATATATGAAATATATAAGGGGACTTATTGCAATTCACTAAAATATAAAATTTCTTCAGTTCACTAAAATATATCATTATTAAAATTCAAAATTAGTAAAAGGACTAAAACATATTATTGTTGAAAGTTAATCATCCTTAAGTTTTCTCAACTCACTAACTTATTGAATAATAAAAATTAATAAGATATGTGCAATTATTTCTAGAAAACAACTTTTCACAAATAAATTGTACTAAAAAACTCTTCACCCTTTAGACGCCACGTGGCTCTTTTTCGCTTTGCATGCCAGCAAACCGACAGTTGCACTATCGTGTGCCTTGGCACACCTTGCTAGGTGTGCCAGGCCAGATTTGCACGCGCCAGCCAGGTAAAAAAATGGTGTTGAAAAGCTTTTTATTTAACGTGATAAGAAATTTATTTTGTAGGGACCCCCATGGTGCTGGGATTGCTTTGAGAGTTTTGTAGGGATTTCATGATTTTTTGTTTTGATATAATCACATTGTGAGTAAGTGAGAATATGAAAAATATGTGATAACAGTACATTCACATTTTGAATTTTTGATATGCATTGTTAGTGGGGATCTCAAATGAAGTAAGTTAGATGTAACTAAGGTTGGTGTTGTAGTTTATTTTACCGGAGTTAAATCAAAAGATTCGACACCGGGTCGTGTCTCTCGAGGAAGGTCAGCCGGATTATTTTGTCCGATTATTCAAACACAAAAATGGAAAATAAAAGAAGTAAAAATCCTAAACATTCTAAATCAAGTTTGTGGGTTTGTTTATCGACTACTAATTGAAAAGCAAGTAACTGAAAAGACTAGACAAGATTGGGAATCACGAGTTCACAACTCAATACTCGAACTTAATTTATAATAAGGGAGCTAGGGTATCAGGGTCGATCAATTCCGGTTCTCAATACACTTAACGAGCAATCAAGAGCTCGGTTAAATGCCTCGCTGAACTACTCATCTAGAGGTCTATCCTCAATAACTCTTCGTAACAAGAGGATAGGCATTAACGAGTAATTCTAGAAACAATCAACACATAAGCAATACTATTACGAACAAGCTTATTCCTGACCGCGTGTCGCAACACGGCAAATTTAAATTTATAATTTTTCCTTAACAAACCTCTACTAACTAGTAGTAGTGGCGAGTAAGGGTCGATCCCACGAGGAGTAGGAATTAAATTGTGACAATCTCGTATTAATTGAATTAACTAGGAAAGCAATAAAAGATGGGGGGTTTTATAAAAATAAAAATAAAAATAAGAAAATAAAATAAAAATCTAATAAAATAAGAGAAGTCCAGTTTTTCGGTTCAATTATCACCCAATCTAAATCTACCGTTAATTAATTTCGACGCTTTCTTTAAATTGCTAATGAATTACCGACCCTAGCTAACAACAAGCTCTGTTAACCGAATTTTCCCTTACTGAATATTTAATCGAAATAAGCTCTTCGACTAAACCTAACTAATGGACAACCTAGAATAAGCTCTCTAGATTTAGTTCACTAGCAGCATTAATTTCTAAGAAAATAGATCAGTCTAAGCAATGGACGCAAAAGCTCGGACCATTTAACTTATGCTCATGCTACCCTAGAGATGCACGACCCCTAGTTTACTACTAACGAAACGAGACAATAACAATTACGGATTAAAGTCCCGAATCTAGCAATTAAACTATGAAT